GATACTTTTGAACCATGAGCTTTGGTAAGACCTGGACACTTTGTTAAAATTTTTTGTCAGGTAATGATTTTCTGTGTTGCTAAAGGAGAGCACAGCTTTGCTGAGTTCAGAGTTCATCTAAGTCCTTGAATGATCAGGTAGATCAAAGTACATGCAGCTTAAATTATTTCATTAAAGCTGTAATTCTGAGCAAGGGATATATATAGACCACATTCATGTATTGAACACTGTGAGTGAGGTGTGAGGCTGTGTTTGGATCTAGAGATTACCTGTTCCAAAATAACTTAGACATTTTTCACCAGATGAGTCCAATACATTGCTATCATAAATTATTAAAAATCATTGTGTTCACTGAACATAAGTAACCCAGTGTTCAAAGGAAATATAGTTCGAGTGTGCTGGAAAAGAGTAACTAAATGGAGGTTTATTAATCTGTGGTTACTAAACTCTTCCTTTGATTTATTGTGCTCTGTGCTTGCCTCTGGCCACTCTTCCAGTACTAAACACCTTGTGGTAAGCTGGATGGAATGAATATTCCTTCATGGAATTTACATTTAACATAATGCCTCTTTTTTTTTCCCCGAAATATTTTTCTTTCCCTTAAAGCACAAAGGACCAGCTATGCTACATGCAAGGCTAATTTCTAAGCCTTCTCTCCCTATTTGCAATAGTGGTGGTTTGGAATTTTTTAATTTTATTATTGCTAAGCAAAGTCATCAAAAACTTCAGAGTAACAAACATGTATGTTTAATTTCTTAACACGCAAAAAATGACAGATATGATTTCCTTCTGACATCTCCAAATTGTAGAGCACACAAGATGTTGGTGAGAATGGAGGCAGGCGAAGGACTTGAAAAGAAAAACATGAAGTTTAGTAGTAAACTACTATAACAATTAATTGCAGATCTTTGTGCCTTTGAAACATGGTTTTAGTCTATTTCCCATTTAGCAATTCAGACAATTCTAAGAAATAATTTCCTGTGACTTACCTCTAGCAAGTAAAAGTAGACGAGCTACTGTGATATCATATACCAAAATAAGCTATTTGATAATACATCATTTCTCCTTGAATTTGTTACTTGTGCATACAATGTTGTATTCTTACTTGGAACCAGTAACCTTAGGAATTAAGTGTTTTCTACTATTGCTTCAATAGTATTTTATTTGGCTTGTGGTATTCCCACAAAGTGTCTCTTATTACCACTGTGTGCTCATGAAATTTTCTTTTTGTTTGCTATCTTATTAAGTATACTGGAGTATTCAGTGATGGAAGTACTTTGTTAAATTACATCTATTATACCAGTGGAGTATGACCTGATTTATTATAAGGAGATCAGAGCATGCTCAAGTGCTCAGTGGATTATCCTAAATGAAGCTTTGTCTCTCAGGGCTGCCATAGCCTTCAACTTTGCCATTATGTTTTAGGCATTGATTTCCCTTTAGAACGCAAATGCAGTAATAATACTGCTTGGTAAATGTTTCTCCAGTACTGAATAACTGCTTGTTCTGTCAAGGGGGTGTCAAATTCTGTTCCCAACCTGTCTGTCATGTATTACCTCCTTTACATCTGTCAGCAGACATGAGTTAAGTACGTTTGGTGACTGGGTTTTGGAGGAAGTGCAGTTTGCAAACCAATTCGAAAGGAAGGAAAGTAACTTTTCAAAGCTTGCTTGTTTACATACCTTTGACTGCAGTGGTTCCCAACCCTTCCAGAGGAAGCATCACTGCTGCTGGAGCCTCTCTGTGCGGTGCTCACTGCACAAGCCTGTCTTGGTGCTTGCACACCCTACTCTGTCTTGGCACTTTGCTGTTTCTTCTGTACCTCCTCCCTTCAAAGCCACAGGCACATCCTTTCTCACCTTCTGGGGTATGGTTTGTCCCAAAGCAACCTGAGAGTGGGGAACAATAACAACAAAAAAATCGGATACTGAGGCTGAGATAGGTGGTGGGCTGACAGCCTGTGGGCTGTCTAGGTGAGACTGAAGGGAGCTCCTAGGAGGGCTGTAAAGGTGCTCAGAGAAAGTGGCTCATATGTGAAGACAGGGGCTTGCAGAAGTTTAGCCAGAGACTGAACAGGGATATCTATCAGCAGTGAGTTTCACAGTATATCATTTTACAAATGTTTTACTTTTAAAATTACTTAGGTTTTTATTTTCTGCCTTTTTTTTTTCATGTATTACAGGAAGAGACAATTACTAATCACTGGGACATTTTACCTGCAGAAGATCATACAATTTGTGCATGATGCCTGATGTGTATTTTTATAATTTAATCATCTAGAGTGTTTATTCGGGGTGTAAATGCTGGAAACAATGACATTTCTGAGCTGATTTATGAGGTATTGCACTTTGTAATCAAATCTGCCATGTGTTGTTTCTAAAATATCAAGTGTTATAAAATTGCTGACAGTCAAAAAAAGAACATTGGTAATGGGCTTAAATTCTCTGTGTACAGTTATGGACAAGAACAGTAGGAAATGGAGGGATACAGAAGCAGTGGCAGCTATACTGCAAGTTTAAGAACTGGCTTGTTGAATGCTTGAGAAATACTGGAATGAGTATGATTTTGTGTTGAGAATTATATAGTTCTAGTGTACATTTTAGACAATATTTTAACAGTAAAAGCTCTTATCACAGAGCATGAAGAATTGCTTCTAACCGTCTTTCCCAGAGGAAACACTATGTGTAACCTTTCAGTGGGAACCAGGGAAGTTTTTTTGGTAGGAGATGAATGTCAGGAAAGTGTTTGTTGTATATTTCATTTTACCTACTTTTTATTCAGCATGTAGGGGAAAAAGGAAAGTATCACCAAGGTGATTGGCAAGTAGCTTCATGAAATATCAGCAGGTGGGAGGCGATATTTATAGTTTGAGGACTGTGAAGGCCAAGGGCTCTGTTTGCCATGACAGCCCTCAAAGACATAGGACAGAGAATCACACCTCCTGCCTTTCAGAAATAATTTTAAGCATAGTGGAGTTAATGGCAGTGGTGTTCAAAATACTGGTTTATTTTAAAAAGATTTTTTTTAAAAAAAGAGGTTTAAAGGGTTTTTCAATAAGGAATTTGGTATTCATGCCAGGCATCATACTTCTAAGACTATTAAATTGTCTGAGCAGAGTTAGAAGTTATTTGAGATCATGAGCTGTATATACAGTCAGCTATGATACTGTGAAGCCTAGTTATTCTTGACTATTCTCTGTGTGGTAATACAAATATTTCTGAAATAAGTAAATAAATACATAAAACATAAATAACAGCAAAAAGAAAAAAAATACTGAGTTGTGGAAATTACCTGGATTCGATAGTATTTAGATCAAAGGGTAGCTAAAAAGGAACCAAAGATGAAGTTCATTGACTGTGAAAACAAAGTTGCCCAAACTCAAACTTTTCAGAACTTTTATTAATAAGGCAGTACATAACATAAGTAAATACATGTTTGACTGCAGTAGGAATTACTGACCTGACATAACGAGGGCCCAAGAAAGAAGAAAACTGTGCAGTATGTCAGTTTATATTTTAAAGATATATATTATAATTCCAGAAGGCTCAGAAGTCCTTAGAACACTTTACTAAGGTGAGTAAAGCCTCCTTCCCACTTGAGCTTACTTATCACCTGGAGAGTTCATGCAAATTATACAGAAACATACTTCATTGCACAATGACTGTCCCACCGCAGAGATTGTGATAGAGGCCTTGTTTTTCATGAGCACTTTGAGAGCAGAATTACAAACTGTTCTTTCTTGACACACTTGTGTAACTGGTAAGGAAGGAATGATGACGACTCCTTTTTAAATTTCTGCATTGTAACCTAGCTAACCTAGGTTAACTCTGCAGGAATTATTCTAGTGCATAGGCTGTGAACCAGGCTGAGCTCAGTAAATAGGGAACATTAACCTCATACGTATGTGCGCACTTGGGTTTAATAAAACTGCATCCAGAACAGCAAAACAAATTAAGAAAATTAATTAAGAGACTAAGAGGTTTTATTGTTGTCATTAGGACTTATGTTTTTATGCTATGTGATGTATAGGGGTTTTTTTTTGTTTTTAACTTAGGTTAACGGGGCAAATTTTGTGTTGGAGCTTTGAGCACTATATTTATACAAATAATATAAACACAGAATTAATATAGAATAGCAATAAAATGCTTGATGAAGAGTATTTTGTTAGGAGTTTTGATTGTCCAGCCATTGAATTAAATGACTGTTTTACGCACAAAGCGGTTTCTAGAAGTGTTATTGGCTGATGCATCAATATTTCTCTTGTGGAGACAGCAACACAACACCATTATTATCCTCTGATAACAGCCTGTTCTAGTGCTTTATCTCATAAATAAATGAATGCATAAATGTGCATTGAGATGAATACACTAGGTAAAGGCCAGGCAAAGTAATAATCACAGGATTTGGTGTGACATTTTACCAGCACTCAGACATATTCCTGACTTTTCTAACATTTGTTTTTTCAACTCATAAATATTTCTGCAAAGTAGGCACACTGTTAAATGACACTAGCTTCCTTGGTGGGATTATTTATGTTAATAAAATGTGAGGCAAAAGCTATTGGTGCATGATAGTTTTTAACTAAAGAAGAAAAGAAAAAAAACCTACAATCTTTTAGAAGAGAGTGTTCTGAATAGTTGTAATTGTCTCAATTTCTGTTACTTTCCAGTATACTCTTACTTTGAAAAATAGAAACAACAAAAAAAGTTTACACTTACAATAAGAAAAGTAAGTTTGAATGCCCTGTGGAAGGGAGGAGTTTGTGAGAACATAAGCATTCCTTTGGTTATGTTCAATGAAACAGGGTCTTGTGCTTTAAGAACTAGGAACAACTTCTAACACCTTACACTTCCTAATGCCATTGCAACTTTGATCATTTCTCTTTTTAAGCAAGACTATAACTGGACCTAACAAAGAGAAGTGCAGTTGCTCATCTCAGATAGATAACTTTTATGTTTTGCAGTATCTTTTTCATGCTAATAAAATCTTTTTCTCCATTTTAGACAAATATCACTTGCTGTGTCATAGCACATGGATTTCAGGACCACCTGTGAAGAGGTAGGCTCAGATATTTTTCTTTTCAAACAGTAGTAGTATCAAAATCAATGAAATTTTAATCCTTTTTATATGCAAAATCCTTTTTTAACTTCTCTTTTTAAAAAAAAATTGAAGGAATTATATAATAAATATAAATTTTTCAGCTGATGGCTTTATGGTAGCAGACAGACTTTGTAGCAGGAGATGAAAAAATTTGCCCAGATGTATTCATCACTGGCCCTCACCTCTGTCCATTCCAATTTACCTCTTTTAGGCACAATGTAGGTGCAGGTATCTGTGTTTTGTGCAAGCTTTGCTCTTAGTGAAGTGTTTATATCTGAAAAACATCAATGGAGCCAGAAATCTGTCTGATGCCTTTCAGCAAAATCAAGGGGGAAAGTAAAAGTGTGGGAAAAAGGTGGGTGACGAGAGAGGAGAAACTGTGAAGATGACCAAGATGAAAAGCAATTCCATTCTAATTTGATGAGGCAAAGGAGTTATTTTCACTTAAAATGGATAGAGTTTTATAGTGTCAATGCAATGTACTTCAGTCTCTCTCCATTACAAAAGGCATCTTGAACAACTTGTTTTAATGCATTTTCAAACTTCAGCAATTGAGACACCATGAGAACCATTTACACCAAATAATGTAATGATGTAAATGTATTATTATTATTATAAAATCATTAATATTACCTGTACACTGAGTATCGCAAACAATGTTTAGGAAGTTAGGACTGGGGACCTGGGGACGAAAAAATTGCCCATGTCTTTAAGTGTGACCCTGATCCCATAAAGAAATAAAAGTGGAAAGATGGAACAATAAAAGAACCAAGAACTAACTGCTTTTTTGACCAAGTAAACTGTGCACGGTCTAAATTGTATAACAGAGTATATCCTAGATTATTTCTCTAGAAAAAAAAAATTGTTAGTTTGGAGATGTATTTTTTAGAATAGATAAATATTTTCAGTTGGAAGGGACCTACAGAGATCATCTCGACCCACTGCCTGACCAATTTAGGGCTGATCAAAACTTAAAACATGTTATTAAGGGCTTTTATTAAAAAAGAAAGAAACAACCTTTTGAGTGCACGTATTGAGGAAAGAGACAGGTACATACTGTTTTCATAGAATTTTTATGTTATTATTTAAACTGTGCACTAGTATAGCTTATTTAGTGTCAATTAACCTTGCTATGTGCCCAGACAACAGCAGCCACAGAAAGATGACCTGGCATATGAGCCCTATCTTAGCCTTTAAAGTGCAAGTATATTAACAGATCTGTTTCATTCTGTATCTAACGTTTAATGGTGCCATTGATTTCAAATTTAGCCCTTTAAAAATCGGCTGCTTAATTGGAGCTTCAATGACAGACAGGGGAATGAGAGGATGACTCCGCCCATCCTAGTAAAGCTTTGTAATCTAGAGACCCAAAGGAAGCTCCTTCAGCTTTAGATTACTAAAATTAAATTAGATATATTCCACTCCAATTTATCTGCTTCATGTAAAATGAGCTTTGTGCCACAGAGTCAGCAGTGTCACTTCCAAGAAATTCTGAAAACTGTGATCTACATCTTTCCTCCCAAGCTAATCAAAGTTAATAAAATACAGACTTTCAACCTACTTTCATCAAACGCCTATGTCTAAATAAATCATCGTCAGCCTTATTCATACACATAATGTAATTTTTAACTAAAACTTCAGCACTATTATTTTAACGCATCATCTGCATTTTTTGTTCAGGGGAATATTGATTGAGCTGGATCTGAAAGTCCAAGAGATGGGAGGGTGCTGTAGCTCCAGGTCGCCAGGTCCAGCCAGTAGTGAGGGTGATGATGTATTCCCAGTTGGCATATGCACACAGAGCACACATATACACTGCATATATCCATATATACATTTTTACTTATGTACCTGACCAGCCACGCAGATCACACAGAGCCCTCACACAGACACAGCCAGCACCAGCAACCTCATCCTGCTCCCTCTCTGACTGAGCAGGATGGAGGTCCACTTGTGAGAATCTATATGGTGTATGTACAGTGTGGATGCCTCCAGCAGCAAGGCTTAGACAGTCTACTCAGCAGCTACCCCTGGATCCTGATCTTCTCAGTTTCCAGCAGCTGGGCATATAAGCTCCTGAGGCCAGAGCCCCTCTACAGCTGCTGGTGTAGACCATCATATACTCACGCTCCCCACCCCCTCCATCTCCCCTCCACAGAATCCTTCAGCCAGGAAAAGAATTGAAAAGGGATTTAATAAGAGAATAGGAGACACTGCACTGATCAGGCTCAGGGAATGTGCATATTGACCAGACAACTATTTACATGTGACTAACCCCTTTTTTATCTCCTTAACCCTATGTTTTTCCGTACGTGTTCTTCCGCAAATCACTGAATCTCTTCACACCCCTTCGGTTCCTCCCCTAAACATCCTATACTAAGTCCAGTGTAATCCCAAACTACATCCCAAAATGTGTCCTGTGACCCAAGACAGTGACCCCCAGTGACTCAGTCGAAAATGTACTCTGGCATTTTCTTATCGTGATGAGTTTTACACCTGGACTGGAGCTGGTGTTGTCCTAGAACAACCCTGGAAGGGGACCAGATTGAGTGTTCCTTCATCCGAGTCCTTAATTTTGGTTCCCACCTGCCATTGTGCTCCTCTGGGCATGTGGTGATGGGCCTTCAGTAGGCTGATGTCTCCTTTGATGAAACTGGGTAGGCTGCTACTTGCACTTCCCCCATCTGCCACAGTCTGTCTGTATTCCTTTCTGTGTGTACAGACAAGATTTTATCATGTAACCTGACAGTTGTGGTTTTCATCTATTTCTTGGCTTCAAGAAGGTTGAATTTTCATTTGTTCACTGATGTGGACAGCATTCTTTGGATTGCACTGTCCAAATATTAAGTAATTACTCATTATGAATGTTCACTTGAGTTCAGTATGAGAAGTAATCATGCATTCTATCAGGTATTTCAATTCCCGATATGTACCTTCAGATTTTCTTAGTACCTTCAGATTTGCCAGACTTGTTGCCCAAACCTCATCTGGTACTTGAGCTTCTTATGAAAGTGACAGTAGAGATTAAAGAAAATACCATTGTGGCACTACCCCCTTAATTGTTTTGTGGTTCTTTCTATTGGCACATCTTCAGCAAATGTTCACAGACTACACTCCAAGCCACAGACATTTTATTTATTTCACCTGTTGACATGAAATAATGAAATAGCTGTAGACTTTGATCCATATACTTTTGTTTAATTAGTTATCTGGTCAGTACTTTTGTAACTTTCAGCCCTCTTTTTGCTCCATCTCCTATTCTCAATCGTACTATATATCTAGGGAAAATAATTTCTGTTCTCCTATGGCAAAGTGGTTACTAGACTGTTTTTAACAATGGCAACAAAAACTGTCATGAGGCATGTTGTCTATTTGATCTTTCTCTTCTTCCGCTCTTTGTTTCATTTCTTATGAATACCTTATCATCCTTCTTTCCCCATCTTCCAGTGCTATAACCACCGTCATTGCAGAAGACCTGAGATTGGTCTTGACTCGGTGGTAGTTCATCCCCATCCTTGCTAATGACAGTAAATGGTTGAACTGAGTTTAAATTAGTGTAAAACCAAAATATTCCATATAGATGCACTGAGGCTAAAACACATTTTTCATAGTGTGCATGACACACACTTTTTTTTTTTCCCTCTTAAACTACTCTTTTCATTCTAAATAACTGCTGCTCTAGTATATTGGATGTCCTGAGGGAACCTTTGTTTTTTCATAGTACTGATGCTTTCATGCGTCCCTTATTTTTCCTATGAGTAGGATTTTGTTTGAAATTTGGACACTGAAATGATCTTGTTGACTTGTAGGTACCTGCCCACACACTTTGTGCTAAGTTCCTCCTGCAGAATTCTCCTGAGCAGTGCAATCAGTGGAGCCCCATGAGCAATTAATTTCTCCCAAAACTTGCTGATCACCTGAATTGCTCTCTACGCTGTATTGCCTATAATAAGCATTAATTATAATAAGAACTCAAACACTTATGTGTAGACAGGTGCAGTTTGATGTTAATCCTATGATCCTAATGATTATTATCTCCTATCTTATCTGTAGGCTGTGCTACTTTTCAAAGTATATTTTTTCTACAAGAAAATACCTTCTGTGCTAGGCAATTCAAATGGTGCTACAAAAAGATGAGGTCTTACACACTTTTTTTTCTAAGGGAAACTACCCGGTCTCTGATGATGAGAAAGCTATAGTTATTTTTTTTCTTGTTGCTTCTCCACTTGCTGATTGTGAGAAATTGTTTCGTATTTAATTATTCTGGATTCTGTGTCATTTTCCCTCAGTAATCAGCAAATGTATCCATTGTACTGCTTCTTGTACTTATTTAACAATTTCTAAACCATGAGAATATCCAGCTGCTCTCTTAGCCTTTATCCTGAGCTTTCTGAACTTTAGAAGAGCATAAATCATAGAGTCACTAGGTTCTTTAAGTTCTCTCCTGTACTTACTTGACCTTATTCTGCATTCTGAAAACTATCTCTTGGAAGATAACCTCAGTTTCTGACATAATACTGTCCTCTGCCCTTCTGATGAAATTGAAGACTTGGGATGATTATAATGCATTAGAACATTTTCCCCTTAGATACATTTTTTAAAAGTTTATATTTTCCATGTGCTTTACGAACAAGCTGCATGAGCAGCTCTCTAATTTTTATAACTTTCTAAATTTTAAAATCTCATCCTTTATTTCTGTTAGCTTGGCTATTTTTTCCTAATATAACTTCAACTTGTTTAAATTAGTAAATATTCCATTTATTTTTATGCCTATAATCTCTTAATCTGTTTTTACAATGCTATCCATTTTTTCTTTGAAGGATTCGTTTGAATTGGTAAACTATTTGTTCTCTGCTTTATGAATCATATGAATATTCTTGTAAACTTCCTAAACTTTATAACTTGATAAATTTTATTGTTCACAGGACTAGTAACCTCTATTTCAACATCCCTCTTGT